TCAACTGCTCTCAAATGGTTGAATGGAGTGCGGATCATGTTAGGGGCACATCTAATGATATTCAAATCATTAACCAATAATAATATGTAGTTTGGTCAAATCCCTTTTTTGTTTATTAATATACATACCACCTAATCGGACAAAAGAAGAAGCTACATTTCCATAGATATTCCATTCTAGTCTGCAATATCCAACCACCTATCCATTTCTCTTCCAGTTTATGATCTTATTTTATTCTCAAATATGAAAGTACTTAAATTACGTATACTTTGGCAACTTTACTCCATTAATATATAATTGCTCTGTTAATATTGATGGCAAAACCGAAATGCCACTCAACTCTAGCTTCCACCCAAACTTTCAACATCAGAAAAAAAAGAAGAAATTATAAACCAAATTATCCCATTTTCTTATCATTTTGTTTAAACGTGTGGTTAATTTTGGAATTGAATTTCTCATGTGAATTTTTTTTTTATATATTTTATCTCGATAGATGTTGTGTATAAAAATTTGAAAATAGTAACTTTTGAGTATTAATTAAAAAATTTAAAATGTTTTTTCATTGAAAAGTGTAACAATTTTTATTTCACTCCTAATATAAGTTTGAATTAAAAAAATTATTGAGTTAAAAGAATACACATTTAATCTTCTGTTTCATTTTTCAAAAATGCATGTTTAATGAAATTATATTATACAATATAGTTAAAATATAGTAAGAACTATATTTGTGAGAAATTTTGAAAATTTTATTATAGATATATCTATTTTTTTAAAAAAAATTATTTGATTGAAAACAATGTGATTTAATTTATTTGTTTATAATTGGTATAGCTTGTTGAATTTTCACTAACATATATGTAATATATAAATAAATAATTATAATGATTTATTATACGGTTAGTAAATAATAGTTAAAATAATAATAGTCCACATATTACAACTATGTATCTTGGCAACATTGCACATCAACCATTCGAATTATCAAAGACACGTAAATTTTTTTTTCTTTATATGTTTTTTTATGAGATTTTGTATTTAAAAATGACTTAAAACACATTCTTTCGTCAATGTAACAAACATCAATGGTTCTTCATCTTCTGTTATACAAAAGTAGGCAATAGAAAAGGTAATTATTTTATATTTTTTTCACACTCGTATCTAATGTATATAAACAAATAAATTACAAATTCAATATGTTTTAATCTTATGGCATAACATTTTGGTACAATTATGTTCATTACTCTATTTAAAAATAACTCAATAAATTTTTTATAAAAGTATCCTCACCTGTTTGGGAAAACGTATAATATGATTTGGACTCTGGTAAAAGTGTTGGTATCAATATGGCATAAAATATTTGATAAATCTTCTTTAAATAATATTCATTATTTCGTTTCAAATTATTACATAACATACCATTTATATTCAACTTTCTAAAAAGGAAATAAATCTGATATTAGAAAACATATCTCTTCACCGGAATTATTCTAATTAATGTACGAATAGTGTAAACATAAATTTCTAAAGGCCCTTTGTTCTTCTCCTATTAATATAAGTATATCCAAGTATCAACTTAATGCATAAGGTTAAATATACAAGTAAAACATGCACCTAATTACTTGCTTGAGGCATTATTAATATGGTTGAACCAATAAAAGAAATTGACCTCAGTACCTTACGTTCCACAAGTCAAAACGTATCACATCTCACATTTTAGTATATATGTGTTGCCTTTTATTTTTGCTTCACATAATAAAATTATTGTTGAATTAACCTATGCTAATAATTAATTTTTAGACATTACTCTAGTAATTGGTTTTCAAAATTATAATATTGTGGTAAAAAAAATGAAAATATGAATTGTTGAAAAATTAATAACAAATAATACAAATCATTAAAGAAAAAAAATGATATACAAATCCACTTACCCACATTATTGCTCTTCCAAAGACTGAATTTTCACAAACCAATAAAATGGTTAAAAACACACTTCTAGGTTAGTTGTCCAATTTATATCAGTCAAAAAGAATTTGTAAAATTTTTACGACTATATATTCTTTATTTGGTTTCCAATCAATAATTATGGTCTTTCTCTTCTTAATCTGTTATAAGGGTTAAGTATCCTCCTTTTGCTCCTTTTATTGATTAACATTAGTAGCGTTGACAAAATAAATTTGACTTTTTAAATTAACCTGTTTAATTCAACGTTCATTTTATTTTATTTATAAACAAATTAGTAAATTGACTTTTTTAACATTACATGCACATTATTGTGTTAAAACAAAGGCATGTTTAAGGCAGAAAGCCGTATAACCAAATATGCAATTAATGAGACTTTTTTGTTGGCTATTTTCAATTTATCAGAAGTCCTAACTCATTTTCTTTTTAATGTTTTGATCTCCACTCTCGTATCTTTGTCTCGCATCTTATTCTCTTTTTACTTTCTTTATGAAGGATAAATTTTATTTTATTTTTATTTCTAATTCTGTAATTTAGGCAAGAAACTTGTCATCCCGTCAAACAAAAAATAGGTCAACAGCATGCTCCTCTCTATTTTTTATGGGTTGTTAATTGCTAATTGGTTTGGTATAGGTCTACCCCCACCTTACCAATATTAATACTTTTTTGGATGAGGAATAAAATTGTAGGAAATAAATGAAAAGAAAAATAAATAAATAAAGTTAGAGGAAAAATATGCGTTATTTAAATGGATAAAAATAGTAAAAGAAAACAAATAAAAAATCACTTATCAAATTAGATGAAAGAATAAAAAATTAACTTAAATTTCTTTAAAATAAGCCTCGCATGTTCTTTTTTATTCCCTCCTATTTTTAGTTAAACAAACAACTATAAGTGTGTGAACAACATATATTATATAATACTATATTTACTAATATGATACTTTTACATCTTTTAATGTAATAAATCAACTTCATTATGTAACATTACATTTTTATATATTTTCAAGTTCATTTTTTATACTTACCATATGTGTACTTTCTTTAAAAATACTTTCATACTTTTATATTCATAGGAGTCCACCGTTTCTTAATCCATTGAATGATCAATCTAATTTTAAAAATATTGATTATTTCGTTCTTTTTTTTTCTCTTTTTTACTTTCCCTCAGTAAGCTGCGTGTTCCACTTCCTTCTGTTATGCTGCTTCTTCCACATGAGCACATGGCAAAGAACTTATAATATTAAACTTGTGCACAAGAGCTTATTTAAGTTGAAGTTAGAGAGTTGGACCTAGGAAATTAAAGTCTAGATACTTATTCTGCCACCGATTGTGTGTTATTAATGCCATGTCACATGGTTCTCCTAGAAATCTTAAAAATTACCATCAACTCAGTTAAAATAAGAAAGCTTTGCAATAAAATAAGCCATGAGGTTTGAACGGTACAATTGTATTGTACTAGGGTACCCTAACTGTTAGGGCGGTTTGCATTGGAAACCAATGCTGTCAGAGCCTATCACTGACTTTAATCTAGCGGAATGTGTTTAATATAAATGATAATGTACTTGTAGGATCTCAGTCCTAGTCACCCATGATTTATATAAACCAACCCCATATGGGTTTAACCTGCAAAACAAGGGATCTTTAGGGTGGGGAAGAATAATAATGTTCATATATTTAGTTCACATTACGCTCTCATTAGGCATCTTTAGGGTGGACCACCTCAATCACTGCTAAGCTAGCTATCTGTTCTAAATCATTAATTTATTAACTGAAAAATAGATAATTACCTTTGACTTTCAGTTACCTTCTTAAGTCATAAGTATGACCAACTAAAAGTTACTTTTGAACACAACTTGTAATATTCTTTTTGAGAGACTATAATATATTAGTTAAGAGACATTGTATATATCTTTTAAATATCTTTACCGACCTTAAAAATAAGTATTGAATAATTTATATTTTTATTTCATCAATATTTTTAATAAAAGTTGTTATCTGTGCTTGATTGATGTCACTGCAATAATCGTATTTACCAGTCAACAGACCAGTTGTACCTTTACTATGTGCAGAAATTAGAGTACGTAAAATTTACTTCAGAACATGTTTATATCTTCAAGGAAAAATATTTTTTAAAATTATTTCTGCTTGGAAATTGGAGCTACACCTTGCTCTTGGGGTTTGACCCTCATCTCTCAGGTTCCACAAGTGATGAATGCGCTTTTTCATGATTCAATGCTGGGATATAGTTGAGTAACTTTGAAGGGAAGAACGTTCATCTGCATAAGATCACTATATTTCGCTACATGATGCAAAATCATGAGAATTTGTTCGATCATACGAGTTCTACCTGACAGTAGTAGTATCTCAGAAAATAAAAATGTTGCCAAAAAATAAAGCTCCATGAGAAGTTAATGAAAAATAATATCTTCAATCTTTATTACTGAATTTAAGCAACTAATAATAAAAAAGAATTATTAAAAAAGTATTTATCACACTTTAATAACTTTAATGTAATTAACATCCTTTTCAATCAAAATTTAACTTAAACTGAATTTTAAAAGCTAAGATTGTATTTGAATGGAAAATTTTAAAAAATATAAAATTAATAATAAAAAAATACTTAAAGTAAGAGTTAAGTATAAGAAAATTTATAAATGATAAAAATATAAAATGAAGCATAATAAAAAAAATTTAAATTCTATATAAAAATAAATCATTTGAAACTTTTTTATTTAACATAAAAATCATTCGATAAAATTTTATAACATTTAAAATATTTACTATCTAAATATATACAAATAATCGTTTTAAATTACTCTATCCAAAGACAATCAAAAGTTTAACAAGAAAAAAAAAAGTTTATTTAGACAACGAAAGTCAGTCAAACTCGTTGCTTCATAATTCCCATACGGGTCCTTTTACAACTAACTGAACGCACTCATTTTCTCTCTCATACATTGGATTGGTCATAAGGGACAAAGAAAAAGAAAACCAAAGGAGACAAAATCAAAGGATAAACATTGCAACGTGCCTACACTATCATCTGCACAATGGACTTTGAGGATGGTGAGAATAAGGAAGTTGGCTTTCCGAGGAGTACCCTATCATCTCTTCAATGCTAAGTCTACATTCTTGAGAGGAAAACTTGTCCTTCTTTCCTTCAACCATCTTCAAGACACTTTCAAAAATGGATACTTCACAAGGAATCCTCAAAACACCCGTTTGTTGAAATCCAAACTCTTCTTCTGCTTCTCTCAAGAGTATCTGAAAGGCTTGATAACCCAAATATTCAGTTGGTATAATGAACCTCTTAAGCTCTTCACCAACACAAACAGCTAGGTACCCTTTTGGAACAACATTGCTTGATCCTCCCTCACGTTCGGATAAAGAAAGTGTTCTTTTCAGAAACTTCATGCTCTTGCTAGAGGTAGTTGTTGTGGTTGATGCGGTGGTGGTCTTCGAAGAGTTTGCTAACCTTCTCCATTTCTTGAGGATCTGTTGAAGCCTAACAATTTCTCTGATCTTGTTAGATTTCTTTGGATCCATAGACATGTGCCTCTTCTGTGGGGGGTTAGTTTCTCAGCTAGGCTCTTTGTTTTCTGATTGACTTGGCTATGTGGGGTTCATGGTTCAAATTTATAGGACTTGATGAAAGTTGAGACCATGGAAATAATTCTCATTTCCCAATGACAAAAAGCTTTTGTTTCATAAACGAAGAATATTATAATCGCCACTTGACTTCTGTGTGTCACATGCATTAGGAAACCAACAACAGAAAATTTACCAAAATATATTTTTTATATGTAAAAAAAAAAAAAAATTCCCTTCTTATTAGTTGTTTTAAACTATTTTTCCTTTATTAATTTAAGTATTGCATGATGCAGAAGCTATACTTATCACGAGCTTAACACATGTCAACTAATTTTTCTCTGGAAAGAGCGATATCAGTTGTGACGATTTTAAACAGCAAAGAAAGAGTTTCATGGACCCCAAGAGATCAAAAACCTTCTTGCAGAGTTGTGTTAATTGAAAGAGAAATAGAATGAAAGAAAAAAGAAAAAAATTAATTACTTACCTAAAAATGGAAAGAAGAATAAAATGAAAATCGAGAGCTCATTAAAAATTCCAAAAAAGATAAGTACTCAAGCTAAAGGTGTAAAAGTTGGAAGAGATGGGAAAGGTGAAAGCAGCAAGAGTTGTTTAAGAGATAATTGTTTCGTATAATTTAATTTTTTTTCCTCTGTTTTTGCCGGCTGCAAACCACCATGAAATTTAGTTTTTAAAATTATGAATATTTTAAAAATACACAACTTTCAAATCGCTAGAACGCCACAACTTCATCTACTGTGTTTGGGCAAAATTAATTACGAAAATTTTTAAACTGTAGAATGTTTAAAATTGTCAACTAGTATTGCTGACTGCAAATGCAAAATTAGAAAGTTCGTGATAAGTATCACCTCTACATCCGGATATACTTAAAATGATGTGTAAAATATAACTTCATCATTTGAAACAAATAATAAAAAAAGATTTTATTTTTGAAAAATTACATTTTGGTATAAAAATGCCTTTTAGATGAGTTAAAGGGCAACTTACATGCTGCCACCTAAAAGATAGAGATGACTTGAAGAAATAATTATAGTTTAAGTTACATATTTTTTTTAAATATATATGATCTGCTTATGCTAATATAAATTTAAAAATTTTTACATTTAATTTATATTTTTTATATTTAACTTATATTTAATAGGTAAATCAAGTGTAAAAATTTTATACTTGCACTAGTGTAAGAATATTATTATATATATGAAAGCTTCATTTTATTGCTCAGTGTTGCATTTCATGCATTATGCAAATTAAAGTGCATCAAAAAAATTGCGGCACTTAGTATGTATGAAATGAGACAGTAAGGATCCATCATGGTGTTAAGAGGATAAAGAAGCAAAATGAGTCAGACACTAATGGAGGTACAATCTCTAATCACGCTTTGCAATACGTGTTTTTGTTTTATTTTTTCATTCCTCTGTTCCTAGAAATGATAAATTTACATTTTGATATAGCCCTTGTTTGAGCTGGTACTTTGACGATTGGTATCATGGGAGAAATTATCCTACAGTAATGGATTGTGTAGTCTGGTATGAAAATTAGTTATTAAAATAGGATTATTATAGATATAGGATTGTGAAAATAGAAAATAATAAGTTGGGTAATAAAAGGAATTTGAACAAGTGAGCTGAATTAGGATGAGTTAATATTGGAAATGTAAATATAAAATTAAAAATTAATTACTAGCTAAAGAAAAGAAAGAAGACATAGTGTAGAAAAATAAATATAAGATGAAGTGAAAGAATCAAATAAAGTATAAAGAAGTAAGCTAAAATTGTGGAAAAGAAAATTAAGATGATTATTTGACTTTGTAAAAGTCACAAAATACAAATGAAATAAGAAAACAAAATAAGACTATAAAAGTTTAGAAAACTCACTCTTGAAAATAAGAGTGATTAGTTTATATGGAGATTATAATTAAGTGCATTGTCTAATAAAAAATCAAGAATAACAACTTTGTAACATTGCAGTAATTTGTGAAACTAATCGTATTGACACATAAACTTATTATTAAGATTAGTTAAAGTGTGTACTATTAAAAGTAACCATTCATTAGAATGTATATAATGAATTAATAAATTGACGTATCATACGAAGTAACTTAAATTGCTTGCACAAAACTCTTAATCAACTCAATCATAAATAAAAAAAATGACTCTACGAAAAAATAAAGTTTAAATTCATTAAAATTTATATTACGTTACATAGGGATATAACAAACTAAAGAATGAAAAGGCATAATGTGGTACCAAGTGTATAGGGTCTTAAACAAGTCTTTAGCATGGCATTATAATCAAGATTATGATAATAAATAAACATGCATTTATGTCTAATGTGTAGTTGCTCTATTACATCGTTATACAAAATTCTTTATTTTAATGTATAGTTTTATTATCAAATTAATTTATAATTTTATTTACCATTTCTGTATTTTGTCTTGATTATTATTAAAAAAAACTAAAATGTTAGATAATCATAATTCTATCAAACCATTTATCTTTTGTATTACTTTCGAGTTTACTATATTCGTTTCTTTTCCTTTCATTCCAATAGAAATTTCTTAATAAAAACTTGATAGTCTAGTGAAAACGTTTTGTTTTCTGTGAAACCTTAAATTAAAAATTAAAGAATTATTTAGTAATAATAAATAATTTTTTTAAAAATTAATTAATAAATATATTTTTTAAAATTATTTAAATACAAATATAAATTTAATAGATTTAAAGAGGGTATTTTACCATTTTAGCAAGGAAAGGGTACAGTAAAATTCTTTTTTTTTATTATTATTCACAAAACTTTTTGTCTCTCATGTGGGCTAGGGCTATAGTTTTACTATGCTGACTTTTTATTACTGCTATGCTCGCTTAAAGTATTAGAGCATGTTTATTTTTTTTTAAATAGAGTTTTTAATTTTTAAAATAAAAAAATTTGTTTGTTAAGTAAGTTTTAAAAACTATTTTTAAAAATTAATTTTTATTTTCAATTTTTAAAACTGAAAAACAGAATTGCTATTTAGGTATTTTTATTTTTATTTTTCTATTTTTCTTTCTGAAAGTAACAAAAATCCAACTAAAAACAGTTTTAAAAACTAAATTATCAAACAAAATTTATTTTATTTTATTTTTCTAAAAACAGTTTTACAAAATTGTTTTAAAATATAATTTTTAAAAATTAAAAATTAAAACTAAATCAAACAAACCCTTAACCTGAATTTTTTAAGTTTCTGGAACAGAGAGAAGCAGCAGCGTATATACAGTACGCTCATCCCTCAATCCACTGAAATCGCAAGTCTAAACCCATTCTTTCACCTGTTTCAATTTTGGGATAAACTGAAGAAGAAGATGTCATTCACAATGTTAAGATATGCTCTCTTTCATCGTTCTTACTCTGCAAAGCTTCACACTCATTCTTCGCGGCATCTCCCGTTGATTCGGAGTGTTCATGACTCTGTTGCCTCATTCAATCGCATGCTCAGTATCTGTCCTTCTCCATTTATTCACAACCCTGATCATGATCTTGCCTCGGTCGATAGCATGCTCAATATGCTTCCTTCCCCATATATTCCCAATGTTCATGAGGCCGTTGCCACTTCCCCATGTATTAGCAGTTTTGATGAGGCTATGGAGGCTATAGGCTCATTCGATTGCATGCTCAATGTGCGACCTTACCCGCCCATCATTCAATTTAACAAGATTTTGGGGTTTCTACTTAAGAATAAGTATTTCAACACTGCTGTTGTGCAGTTCCAAAAACTGCAACGTGTGAGAATTATACCAGATCTTGTTACTTTATCTGTCCTCGTCAATTGCTGCTGCCAACTTGGTCACATGACCTTAACTTATTCGGTATTGGCCAAGATCTTCAGACTGGATCATCTTCCGAACACCATAATCTTGACACAACTCGTGAATGGTCTTTTTCTTACTCGTAACATAAGAAAAGCACTGCATCTTTACCACAAACTGATAGCGCAAGGATTTCAGATGAACCATGTTAGTTACGGAGAGTTGATCAATGGACTATGTAAAGTGGGAGAAACAAGAGTTGCCATTCATATGTTGAGACAGGTTGAAAGGCAACTGATTCAGCCTAATGGGTGATGTACAGTGCAATCATTAATGGCCTGTGCAAAGATAAATTTTTGGCTGAAGCATGTGATTATTTTTCTGAAATGGTTGTCAAAGGAATTAATCCCCACTATGTCATCTACAATCACGGCTTTTGTCTTTTTGGTCAAGTGAAGGAAGCAGTGCGTTTGTTCAATGAAATGGTATTGAAAAGCGTCAACCAAAATGTTTATACCTTTACCATGTTGATTGATGTCTTGTGTAAGGATGGAAAAGTGAGAGAAGCTACAAATGTGTTGGCTGTGATGATAACAGGAGGTGTGAAACCGGATGTTGTTACTTATAATACTTTAATGGCTGGGTATTGCCTAGTTAATGAAGTAAAGAATGGAAAACATGTATTCAACTCGTTGATCCGAAGTGGCGTAACACCTGATGTACAAAGCTATAACATATTGATTAATGGATTTTGCAAGACTGGAAAGGTGCACGAAGCCATGGATCTCCTTGAAGAAATGCATCGCAAACATGTGGTTCCAACTACAGTAACTTACAATTCTCTTCTTGATGGTGTGTGCAAGAATGAAGATGTGTTTACTCCAAGTGTGCATATAGCTGTGAATCTCATTGAAGAAATGCATTGCAAACATCTAGTTCCAGATATAGTAACTTACACTTCTCTTCTTGATGTTTTGAGCAAATCAGATAGAATAATTTTTTATCTTTGGGAGCTGATTGATGACGAGCTGAGGTCCGATTTAATGCTTGAATCTAGTTTCAAAGAGGAATATAACTATGATTTAGGCATTTATCCCCATGAATATTTGATTGATGTTATTGACCGCCTATGCAAAGATGGAACAATTAAGGATGTGCTTTTTAAGGATCCTTTGGCTAGAGGTTATCCTTGTCTTCTTTCGTATAAGACTTGCTTGGCCATGGGGCGTTGGCCTTGAACATTGGTTGCTTTCATGTAACTTTTGAAATAATTAATTATCTGTCCTAGCGGCCTCTTGTAAGAGTAAGTCTAGCTTATATGCTTACTAGTTTCACATTATTTTGAATTTTGATAATGACCAAAAATTTTGTTTAGATAGTTTCAAGTATTATGTGATGAGCTCCTCACTATCATATTAATTTGATTAAAAATCATATTACTTTGGTATGTTTATTTTTATTTTTTCAGTTTGTTACAATGACAATCATTGATAGATATATTTGAGTCTTGACATAATATCATTTTTTTACCCAATTTACTGTCCATTTATTTTGTTGTCAAATTTATAGGATTCTCTCATGTAAAAAGAACTTATTAAATAAGTTGTTAATTAAATTGCGTTTTTAAATGCATCATTTATTTTTCATCTCTAATTGGTGCTAACAGCTTCTATACATATCAAAATCTGTCTACACAGGTGTTTGGATGAATCACAAGAACAGATTTTTGACATTACTCCTCTCTGTTTCTCTTATCCATTATTTCCCCTCTTAGAATTATCTCTCCCTGTATATCACCTTCTCTCATTTTCTCTGAAAACAAACTCTAGTACCAGTCAATCACATTTTTTTTTAAAGCTTTTATTTCTTTTTTCTGTTGAAGCATTACAATTACTGCATTAGCTATCCCTTTTCACATATGTCCCGATGATATCAGCTCTTAAAAAAACCGTTAATTGTATAATATTGGGGAAAAAATCATGTTTTTAATGTATATATACAAAGATGTTCTTAGTATATATGCTAAGTTACTAATAACACAATATCAGGTATAATTTTCTCACCGTTTTTATGGATCACAAATTATTTTCAAAAGCTCAGGTTTTTTTATTTTTGGTCGAAATTTTCTAAAGCTCAGATAATTTTGTGAACAGTAACCATAGTTATTGTGCTTATGGTTATTGGTGACTGGGCTTACTTATGATGTCTGCCCTAGCCAATGACGTATAAATTGGGTTCCTGGTAGATAAATCAAGGGATCTTTTTCAATACTCATCTAATATTCCTTTAAAGAAAGACATCTTGCATGTATGATTATTTTCTTAATTTATTTTTAAAAATGAAAAATAAAAAAATTATTAATTAAAGAAAAAGTAACTGTTAGAAAATATGTATTATAGAAAATCGAAAGTTTACTCTGAATCAGTGGACAGGATACCACCTTCACTCTTAACCTTGCATGAATGTTTGATATTCTATAATATGACAGCTACATAGAGAGAATGTTGGAGTGAAAGAATTTGTTCTAAAACTTGAAGTTATAACATAACCATATAATAGATTTTCTATATTGTAATAATTTAACTGATAATAACATTAAAAATACGAAGGATATAACCAAACTTACCTAAAAAAAGTCTTAAAAAGATAATACAATGTCACCGATCGTCTCAAGTATATTTTTGTCACAAAAAATGTAAAGGAAACAATATTAATAAATAAAAATAATAATAAATAAAACTAGCCTTTATCTAAGTGTTTTGTAAGCGATATTTTCTGAAATTATAGCATGCACGATATTCAATCTGCACACACATACGATAATCCCCAAGTAAGCCAACATTCACAAATCATGAACATACCATTGCCTCATCTCTAGGCGGGTTAATTGTTTTTCGGGTAAACATGAAAACTATGTTTCCCTTTATATGCGCCTTCAAATTTCATTTCTCACTAATATAATGCTGCGGCAATACGTGCCTAAAACTAAACATATATCATTTATAACATCATTATCAAAGATTCATAACCAGTTCCTTACTCTAGCTAGTACTACTAAAAGAATAGCTAGGTACTTTGTGTTATTCCATATATTTAAAATGGAAAGCGAAGTAAGTTTCATTTGCAAAAGAACTGTGGTGAGCACGAAGCCAGTAGAACCAGGAAAGTACTTCCCCTTATCAGTTTTGGATCGTTACATGGAGAATAACCACATGAGGATGGTGTACTATTACCAAACTTCAGGAGAAGTAAGACTTGGAGAAGTGACCAAGAAGTTGAGAGAGACTTTGTCAGAGATGCTTACCCATTTTCCCAAAGTGAGTGGACGGTTGATAAGGGATGAGAAAGGGCATTGGAAGATCAAATGCAATGATGCTGAGGTCAGAATGGTGGAGGCAAAAGCCAAAGGGAGTGTTGAGGGGTGGCTTAGATGTGTTGATAGGGAAAAGGAACTTCAGCTTGTGTATTGGGAGACCATGTTTCACAAACCTTATTATTGGTCTACTTTTTATGTCCACGTTAAAATTTTATACTATTGAAAACAAAAACTTTTATTTTAATATATTATTAATCAATTAGAAAGCATTTGTTGATTTAACTTTTAAATTAATTATTGTAAAAATTCATATTAATGACACCATTGCATTTCAATAAGTTCTTGAAAAAACTAAATGATTTGGATATGATAAAAACTGGTTAAGTGATCAAAGAATTTCTAATTAAAAGTGGAAAGCTGAAAAAGCGTGCGACCAAATTAAAAACAAAATTGATGACAACAATAGATGGTGAATGACTATGAGATTCTATGTTTGTTCCGATAGGAAAAAGGCGAAGTTGTGGAGAGAGAAGCATGCCTTTGATGCTGCAGAGAACGAACCAAAATAGGGTTTCGAATTTCTAAAAAATGGGGTTGAAGCTTTGATGCTTTCAGGCTGTGGGGGCTCACACATGAATTTTTTTAATTACAAAAACATAAATGTAAATAGGAATGGAAAAAAAAGAAAATCATTAACAATTAAATTAATTATGTTAAAAATTATTTAAATGTCTTCCCATTATAAGTGATTAATTTTTAACTTATTTGACTAAGAGAGTATTTAGAAAACATTATTTCATATTATATAAAAATTGTTAAAAACATTATTCGATCTTATTTTGCATTTGTTAAAAATATATAGCTTATAATTTTTAATTACTTTTTATAAAAATAAAATAAATAAAATTTTAGTGTTTACAATTAAAAATTATTAACTCATTTTTAGTTATTTTCCTTTTATTCTTACTAATTATTTATTATGCATATTTTGTACATTTTCTATAATTTCATTGTGGAAAAAAAAAGTATACAATTTAAGTAAATACATTATTGTAAAAATGCTTCTCAATTGTTGATGAAGATTTCCCTAAGCCTCTTGAATTTCGGATCTACTAGGACTAGGATGTATCTCGAGCTACAAAACTCGAAAAAGAGTGATTCAAAAACGAGAGGAATATTTATGTTGTGAACCTTAATTTTGACTCAAAGAATCACTTAATTTGAATTTGTATAACGCAAGATATGAATAAAAGTTATTCAGGGCTTAATTTGGGGTTTGTTTGGAAGAGAATGCTATGAACCTTAAAATTTAGAATTTGAAAAAAAAATTTGAAATTCATACCTTGTAAAAAGAATAAAAGGAAGGAAATATGATAGGGAAGGCGCCACAAACAAGGATGTTTGATAAGTCAACAAGATCGCCACAAGAACAGATGAATTCTTGATAAGATCGGAGGTTGCAAGGAAGAACCCTAGCAGAGAATAATTCTCACTATAATCTGATTTCAATCATGTATATCCTCAAAATAATTTCTAACTGTTTTAGTATAATTCAGTTTTGGAGTTTGTCCACATGAACTCGACATATAAAAACAAAAACTAATCCCTTTAGCACAAACATGATGTATATGTTCTAGTGGTTAAGTGAGCGTATTACATCCTAAGGTGTAAGGGTTCAAATCCTATAATAGATTTGCTCAGATTATTCCTTCAAAAACAAGATAAATTCCTTAAGAACTAAGCATAAATTCTACAAATGCGAAAATAACTACAAATTGAAATAAAACTTTCAATCATTCTCTTTTTCTGAGTTTTTCTGCTTTCTTAATATATTTTCCTTATTAAATGAGCTAGAATTATGCTAAAATATCAGTAAAAATATGGATTCATCACCACCCCAAACTTGAATTTTTGCTTGTCCTCAAGCAAATCAAACTAAATCAAGGATAAGTTCCTCCATTTTCAAATTCAGTTCATAAACTGCTTATTTCAGATTTTTCTAATTTCTAATTCTGTGTTTTCTGCAAAATTTTCAATCAAGTTGTTCATCCAAATACTCATCATGATATTCCTACTGCATAATCATCATTGAGTAAGAATTGCTACCTAAGTTCATATTTTTCATCAAAATTCATGTGAGTACAATTAATCAACATGATCACAGCTCACTTGGAAGTGTTTCTCTCATCACTCAACAGTGTTTAGGTGCTGTTTTCACTCTAAATCATCAATTTCACTGCATTCTACCATATGCTTACCCAATTTCTCCATCTCCTATGCTTAGTACAATTAATCACACATCTAGAGGACTTTTTCAGGTTATAACAAGGCTAAGGTTAAGGTAGGTATCAAAGAAAATGGAAAACAATACATGCAATTTCAAAAAATCAGAGGCATTTTGAGTGATTTGTTTTAAAACTAGCCTGGATCTGCATTATTCCTCCTTAATTCTCTCACTTATGCAGCAAACAAAATTTTTCTTGTAGAGAATTTTCATCTCTTTTCTTGCTTTCAGTCACTATCTTCTTCTTTTTTTTAATCTTTTTCTACAGCACTTTGCTGCACTTCTTTTCTTTTGAACTCACATTTTTGTTCTTTTCACAGCTTTGCTTCATAAATTTTTCATTTTGCTGCAGCACTTTTGTTCTTTCTTTCTGGTTTGTTGAACTCAAACTTAGATATTTCCCACCCTAAACTTAGAACATTGCTTGTCCTCAAGCAATTAAAATCTGGATGCCACCCCAAACTTAGTTTTAAAACTCATTCTTGATTAAACTCATTATGCCTTTGATCTTTTGAATGGTAAAAATTAGTTTTTCAGCAAGGCTTATAATGAGGTAATTTCAAGAAAAGGGATATTAAGCTCAAAAGGGTGAACTAAGACATTCAATCATAAAGGAAGACATTTAGGCTGACTAGGAT